TACGACACGCACAGTCCTCAGATCCTTCCAAAACTGGAGTACGGCGTACTCTACATACTTACGTTGAATGTTCTAACCTCCTATCAACTAACCGACATTCCGCTCCGTGTGAGGATACAAGCGTAAGCAGTAACGCTGTTAATTTTTTTTATAAATTTAAAATGGATGCTATAAATTTTTCTATAGACTTGAAATTGATGCTGTTAATTTTTCTATACATTTGAAATTGGCGCTGTTAATTTTTTTACAGATTTGATATTTATGCTACAAATTTTTCTATACATTTAAAACTGATACTGTTAAGTTTTTTATAGATTTGAAATTGGCGCTGTTAATTTTTTTACAAATTTGAAATTGTGAAGCTGTCAATTTTTTTATAGATTTGAAATTGTTACTGTTAATTCTTTTACAGATTTGAAATTGACCTAATTTCGATTGACTGGAATGATAAAAGACTTTTCTTAAAATTGCTTACATTTTTCTGGAAATTTTTGCGCAACTTACAATGCACAGTGTGATTGCAAACTTTTGGCCAGTAGTGTATGTATATGATATATACTCTGGTATTCCATCAAGTGCTCGCGTGTGTCCTCGGGATCTCTCCTCTTTCTCCGCTTTCGCGATTACCCGCGAACAATGGCCAGAAACAATAGGCAGAGGCAAGTAACAAACAAGAATGCATTGTTCGAGGAACGGTTCAAAGAAGGATTGAAAGTGAACGACAAAGAATCGGAGAAGACGAAAAAGTGGGATTGTTTGTGAGTCAAGGAGGATTAACACGTTTCGTGCCGCTTCTGTGCTATACTTTATTCAAAATTTTCCAGGACAAATCAAACGGAATAGAAATTATTCAGTCGTTCGGCAATATCTATTTGTTTGCTTTTTAAATAATCGCCATTGCTCGAGACCTTCGTAGCATTGCTGGAACTCAATTTCTGGGACGATTTTTAGCTTATTTAAAAGTTTTTCAAAAGTTTTTCAAAAGATTGAAAATTAAATAACTTTTTTTTTTATATATTTGAAAATTTTTGCTTCAAATTTTGGAAATTTGTTGTCTGAAAATTTATCACGATAAAGCGACTTATGAGCCACCCTGTATAAACAGATAACAGATATTTACACATGTTTCTTATTGGCTGATAAGAAGTTTCGATTATTAAATTGATTTCAGGATTTATTTCCAATTTAATCTGGTTATTTTCAATTTAATAAATCTTCTGCGCTTTGTGCTATAATTAATGCGTTTTAATTAATAATCTTCATTGAGTCGAATAACGTTCTGTTACAGAGAAGGTTGATCCTCAAAGGGGTAATTTACGACCTTCTGTGGCCTCCAATAACCTTCATTGCCGTTCATTAAACTCGTCTAAGCCACTGTTGCCGCCATAAAAGGCACGAAAATTTCCATCTAATTATAAAAGAGAGATAAAAGAGAGATAAAAGAAGAGAAAGTAACCTTGAGGTTTTCTGTTGCACCTTTACGCCAGGGAAAAAAGAACGATTCCTATCGTGTTACATTTCCCTTGCTACTAAACAACATTGCGCAAATTCCTTTTACACTTTACTTAATTCTACACCATTCGAATAACTTCGTTCGATTTTGAAATCCAGATTCTTCTTCGAATTTTTCTCGTTTGTTTCATAAATTATGTTACATTTTATTTTTTTAATATTTTATTATTTATTTATACTTTTTTTAAATATTTTTGTTACATTTCTTCATTTTTCTCTCTCGGAAATTTCAATTTAACGCTACTAAAAAAGATGTGTGTGTGTGTGTGTGTAAAGAAAGAGTTTCGTAAATTCTAAATGAAAAAAAGTTTCCCTTAAAAATGATTTCTTACACGTTTCGATTTACACTAGCAGCCGCGAATCTAACCGTGGAAATATCTCTTAATGCATTCGATCGCGTTCACCCATTCACGCTAGACTTAACAGGTTTCACAAAATTCCACCGCAACCATTGGAGCAATTATTTCTTCCGCGAGGAAAATCGACGCACCTGTCAGTGGAATCGAATTATTCAGAACGATCGACTGCAGAAATTTCACGAATAACAGCAAGATAGACTGCTGATCGTTTTTCGATAATATCGTTTCATTCGCGAATACACGCGTTGTCATTCTCGGAAAATCCAATCACCGCGTGAGGAAGTGTCTAATTACATTCGACAACGCGTTCTACATTTCGTTCGCTGGTAGAGCGACGCGTCGATACGAATTCCGTGATCGATAAGATCGATGGAAGACCAGAGTTTTATAGCTGCTATTCCTCAACGATTTTCTTACCGAAGAAGGGGGAAAAAAATGGAGCATTATATTTTTACCCCGATTGTCTTTAGTTCACTGATCGTGAAATCGCCTATTAGAGTGTATAAAAAATGATAATCATAATAGTAATCGTAAACGTTACACTATAGCAAAGTCAATTATTCTTTTAGAAACATTTTTGACACACCGTGTATAAATAACGATTAACTTTTCTCACAAAAGTTTGTAGTTACATGTATTTGTTACTGGGTCTGTAATTAGAATTCTGAGACACCCTGTAGAACAAGAACTACTTTTTATAAGAAAAAGTATTTACCAATTATAAATTTACAAAATTTATAAGTAGGCTTAATTTTTAAAGATACTTTCGTTTCCTCCTGATGATCTATTTGGAAAAATTCTCCCTCTCCTGTAATTGGTTTATTAAATTAACCCTTTAAATATGACGGAACTGACCGTAGAACTGTATCGCATATACGGTCTGCTCTGCCGCAGAATCCATGTAAACGAAATTAATACCGCAATCGCTGTTTCTATAGTGGCTCTTCGTTAAAAACGCATCACCCAGAGGGAAGCCACTAGAGTGGCGCATAATAGCTAAACGGTTAATATGCATTGGAGTTTTGAAACAATTTGTATATATTTAGAGAAACATTTTCCAATTACAAATTGGTTAATCGCCAGCTATATTAAAAACGCCTTTGTTCCCGTCTTATGAGGCTCACAGGTCAATGTACTGCTAATTTTGAAGCAACCTATATAAGAACATGTACTGCAACCGGTCCTGCCATACGCTCATAAGCAACCACCAATACGAAGGTTGCGTTCATTGAACGATACTCTCGGCTATACGGGTGAAATGTCCCTTTCCTCTCCCGTTTCCTATCATCGAGGCCCACGCCGTTTTCTAAACGCACAGCCTTGCGCTTCCTTTTAATAATACAGTAAGATACACCGCTCCAAATAATTCTAACAACATCCACTGCTACTTACAATCCAATTAGCAATAACGCGTCAAGCATTTTAAAGTCGTTAAACTGCTATATAAAGTTCCATAAAAATGGAATCCCATGAAGTATACGGTCAGGTCATTTTTATACCCTTAGGGTTGGGAAATTCCAAGTTTTTGAGAGAGGTAGCATGATTTACGGCTTAAGACTCATTTTATGGACACCCGAAACTCATTTCAGATTTAACTTAAAACTCATTTTGAAGAAAAGAAAATTTTCGTTTTCCAGTGCGCGAAAAATGCTACTTCATGAATTTTCCAAATTTTCTGATATTTCTAGTCCTATTTGGTACATATTATCGAGTAGTGCTTCCCACGCTTTTAATGCCGTGAATTTATATACAATTCATATATCGAACACGGTCACGTGACGTTGCTTTGAACTCGTTACATGTCTCTCTTAAAGTATCAAACTTGTTCCACAACATGAAACCACTTCCATCAGAGGATAGAATACTCACGTTATAATATGTTTTAGCAACTCTAATGAATTGTGGTATATAAATACATCGATAACACATTTTATTATAAACAAACGAATAATATATTATTAATAATCAATGGCCAGATAACACGAGAATACGAATTGTTACAAACCACAATGACTAGTACAGGAAACAACAATTTTTTTATATTTTATAACTCACAAGTATGACATTTTTTATTATTTCTTTTAAAATATAACCACTTCATTAGTTTGAATAATTTAAAAAAACATATAGCAGGATTCTATTGCAAGTTCTAGTATGAAAGATTCAAATTTAAAAATAGTTCAACGCAAGGCATGTGTTTACCGAAATACAATGCCAAAAGTACAAGATTACAATATTCTAAAATAGAGGTTTCAAATTATTTTTTTTTAAAGACATAATTCAGTCTGTAAATGCATCTAGCAGATCAATGCATCAATGTCCTATCAATGAATCAGTTACCATGTTTCGAATCGTGCCGATTGAACCATAATTTAAATACATACAAGACTATATTAAAAAGCAGGTTTAAATTACTTCTAAAATAGACCATGAAATACTTTTGCTCCAAATTCATATAACCTTTAGTTTAGCTTTTTACGCTTCGCTCCGTACTTAATCTGACTTGTTTAAGTTGAAACTAAACGAGAAAGAAAGACAAAGAAAACTTGTTGATAGATCACTCCGAATTTGACTAAGAGGACAAGTCAAATATTTTGGTAGATAGTACCACTTCCAACGTCGTTTTCAATACCGTATAAATAGACAACTAAACGTTAAATATTTCTCAGATTAAAAGAAAAAACAACTTATTCAATCTCATGTTTTCCAACGCACTCGAAAAAAAAAGAAACAAGACAATCAGAGTCCCCCGTTTCACGACAATAAAATCAAACTGTAACTTCATCTCAACAGATACAGTTATAGCACAATCTCTTGTAAAGCGTATCTCGACCATAAACGCATCATCAATCGCATTAATCGTCTGGTTACTACACTCCAGTACATAATCGCGATTATTTCTATGTAATATATCAACATTCTTCATAACTGTAATTAAAATGATAAGAGACTATAATTCAAAGAAACTATAACTACATAATTTAAATAATTTGGCAATGTTCAACGTTAAGAATGCTTCATTAAAACGCGGCAGCGAATCAAGACGCACAGCATCCCTTTAATGTACTTGATCGTAATCGGGTAAATAAGTTGCAAGTGAGATTAGCATTTTTAATAGTATGTACTCACTCTATGGTTTTCCGTGCAATAACCCGAAAACACATAGCCACGAACACATAAATAAAATACAACAGAAAAAAAACAATAATTGGCACAAGGAACGAAACGCAACACGTACACCTCACTTTCCAACTTTCAACTGAACTATCCTGGAATTCTGTACATCGACCAAACTATATGAACGCACATACCTGTTTTCTTTTTACTCGCATAGAACGACATCTATCACAACGTATATAACGGTAAAAATGATTGATCGGTAAAGTAGATATTCCATAACTTTCGTTTATCTCAGAAAACTGTTAACAATAAACAATATTTTCATATTAATATAAGTTTTCAATTATTTCGTAAAATATATAAAACCTTATTCAACAGTATTTTCAAAATCTTATATTTTATACATGAAAATGTAAAATTTTATGTTTATAATTTTGTTAAGAATTTTAATAAATTTATATAATATTGTATAAGTGAAGATTTTCAAATACAATAACAGGAAAGATAGAATTACGTGTCGAACGTCACGTCTGTTACATACTCATGCAAAGTCAATTTAAATTCATCAACGAGAGAAGTTTGCGTAGACGGGCTATGCGCTATTTTTCATGATACCAGTTAAGCGTGAATATGTGAAACAGAGAGTTCTTTTATCTCTAAGATCTAAAATTAAAAATACAAGCATAGCAGATAGCTATTACAAGAGGTTTGTAAATGTGTTTGTTACTCCATATAAAATGGTGTGATCAAACCGAAACTCACTTTAAATTGTTACAAACAGTTGCTGTCGTTTGATATTTAAACGTTACAAAGATGACTTCAAGGTTCAGTGGACTCAAATTAGGGCCACCAATAGAAGTTTTTGCTCTTCAAAAAGCCTTTATAGAAGATGCTTATGAAAAAAAAGTAAATTTATCTATAGGAGGTATGTTTTATATTTTTCATTTAATAAATTTTTAATTTATTAACAAACAAATATAATATAAATCCAAAATAATGTTTAGTATATATATGAAAAATTAGTTTTCCAACCAACACATTTTTATATTCTGTGTTTCACATTCTTAATGAATATGCTCTTGAGTGACCTCCAGGAATATCTGGTGATTACATAACATATATCAGAAATATGAATGTGTATTGTGAATAATGATAAGTAGCTGTTGAACAATTTTAAACATTTGTAGAAATTATCGAAAATTGAAATTATTTACAGCTTATCGTACAAGTGAAGGAGCACCATGGGTATTACCAGTTGTTCGAAAGGTAGAGAAATTATTAGCTGCAGATGAACTACAAAATCATGAATATCTTCCTGTCTTGGGGTTAGATGCTTTTAGTCAAGCAGCAACAGGTATGTTGCTGGGTACAGACTCTCCTATTATTGCACAAGGTCGTGCTTTTGGTATTCAAACATTGTCTGGTACTGGAGCATTACGTGTTACAGCTGAATTTTTTAGTCGCATTTTGCATTATGATACCTTTTATTATAGCAAACCTACTTGGGGTAAGTGTTAAACAGTTTAGTCTATTAAAATAAACATTCATCTTACACATAATATTTAACATATATCAACAGAGAACCATAAACTTGTATTCATTAATGGAGGATTTAAAAAAGCTTGTGAATATACATATTGGAATCCAGAAACCCGTAATTTTGATATTGAAGGAATGCTTAATGATCTTAGAGATGCTCCAGAGAATGCTGTAATTATTTTGCATGCATGTGCACATAATCCTACTGGATGTGATCCAACACCTGAGCAATGGGCTAAAATAGCAGATGTAGTTGAAGAGAAACATCTTTTCCCACTTTTTGATAGCGCATATCAGGTAAATATCATTATAAAATAGAATAATTTCAAAAATAATAATGTACAAAATATATATACTTAGGGTTTTGCAAGTGGTGATTTAGATAAAGATGCTTATGCAGTAAGAATGTTTGCCAAACGTGGAATAGAACTTATGTGTGCACAAAGTTTTGCTAAAAACTTTGGCTTATACAACGAAAGAGCTGGAAATTTGGTGGTTGTTATGAATAATACAAAAGAATTATCTGAAGTTAAATCTCAGTTAACCTTAATCGTTCGAGGAATGTACAGTAATCCACCAAATCATGGAGCAAGAATAATTGCAACTGTGCTACAAAATCCAGATCTTTATAAAGAATGGTGTAGTATCAATAATAAAAATATGCATTAATTGCAATAAATAATGAAAATATTTAATTTGAAAAATTAAAATATTTCAGGAAAAGTCATATTGTTACAATGTCTAATAGAATAAAACAAATGCGAACGAGTTTATACGAAAGGCTGGTTCAATTAGGAACACCAGGTAGTTGGGAACATATTACTACACAAATAGGAATGTTCTCTTATACAGGTCTTACTAGTCAGTATTCTAGAAAACTACTCTATTCCTCTTTTTTTTATAATAAGCGTCTTATTATATGAAACAAATATTATTTCAGAGCGACAAGTTGAACATTTAATAAATCATTACCATATATATATGTTACGAAGTGGTAGAATAAATATGTGTGGACTTAATAAATCTAACTTGGATTACGTCGCAAGTGCAATTTACGAAACTGTTCTGCTATTTCCAGAAAAGAAGAAACAGTGTACATGTTGAAATGAGCACTAGGATCAGACATGATATTATATAAGTATAAATTGTTATTGAAACTTCAGTATTGCGAAAATTGTTGAAGTAGGCCGATATTTTATATGCATTGAAATTAACTGAGAATTGTAGAAATTTTCTACAAAGGACATTTTCATTACACTTTTGTTATGATTATATTTTTGATCAAATTATCAGATGGCATAAGTATTCCATTTCAGAAAATTTCACTACTGAAAATCATCACAAAGTTCTATTTCATATGAAAGTTAAACTATTTTGTTATAAATCGCCTTGTCTACAAAAGTACAAAGTATAAACAAAGTATTACAAATTGCCAAATTTTAATACATGTGCTAGTACAAACGCTTATTATTAAAATAATTTTCATTGAGCTTAATAGTTTGTAGAGTAATAAGGAACATTTACGACACACATTCATTTTGATACTATGTTTTTACCAATCTTGACATAGTTAGGCACTTATACAAGTGCTAATATCCAATGTCATTAAGCTCTGCTTTAAAATAATATTCCTCGACTGATATAATGCAATGGTTTTTAAAATCCAAAAAATGAATGTTCCTTAAAGGGATGGTTACAAATCTTATATATCATGTAGAAGACTACAATTTTAAATTAATATTTTTCATTATGTGTATAGTAAAAGCCATAATATTAATGAATGAGACCAAACTTTTAAAAATACTTTGCACTCTAAAGTAACCAACTTTATTGTAGGTAAGAGTGGATATATTTTTTTTACATTTCTCAGAAGAATATTTTTTAAACATAGTTT